GTCGGGTGGGAGCGGATGGGAATGAGTGCACCCCATGGTTTTCTGTGATACCCACGCAGCTCCACTGAAGCTCAAGAGCACCAGCTGTGGCATGGATCTCTGGGTACTTTCAGGAGGATAGCGGTCATCAACATGTGTTTTTGAGCACCCCCTGGTACAAGAGCTAATATTGACTCTCTATGCACTTTCCCCTCACCAGTCCTATGAGGTAGTAGGCCCTTCTATACCATTGTAGAGAAAGAAAATGAGGTTCAGAGGAGTAGATACCCTGCCCCCCAAACTCACATGGTGTGATGGTTAGTTTTATGTGTCAACTTGGATATGCTGTATGCCCAGTGGTATCCTTAGACCCTAGTCTAGAAGATGCTGGAAAGAAATTTTGTAGATGTGATTAACATTTACAATCTGACTTTGAGTAAAGCAGATTACCCTCTGTAATGTTTGCAGACCTCATCTAATTAATTGAAGGCCTTAAGAGCAAATACTGAGTCTTAGAAAAGACAGAATCTGCCTCAAACCTATAAGGTTTCCTGCCTGAATTTCCAGCTTGCTAGCCTGCCCTTCAGATTTCAGGCTTGCCAACTACTTCCCACCCAGTTCCATAAGCCAGTTCCTTAAATCCATCTCTCCCTTCTCTCTCAACCCCAGGTCTTTTCGGATGCAAAGCCCACAATTCCACACTTCTCAAACTCCACCCTCTGCTGCCTCCTAGATCCTGTATGAGAAGCTGCAGATACCAGGGTCGTAACATAAGCTGTACTATAAGAGACCGAGGTCAGATCTCTTGAGGACCCTATGAGGAAAGATTTAACATGAAGGACACCAGTTGAGTGGAGAAAACCACTGTTGAGAAGGAGGATGTGACAGTGTCAGGAAGATGGGGGTAATAATCAAGGAGGGAAGAGCATGTGGCAGAGAAAACAAAAATAATCGTTAATGCTCGGTGAGTGCTTCCCATGTGCCGGGTACTGTTCTAAGCGCTTCCCTTATGTTAATTTCTTTAGTACTATTATGCTCACTTTGTGGATGAGGAAACTGAGGCCCAAGGTCACAGTTTCTGGTACATGGTAGAACAGCGGGGAGTTGCCTGGAGAGCCTAACACTTAATCCTTAGGAAGCCACAGAGAGAAAGAAGAGGGTGAGAGAGAGATGCCACTCTTCTGACAGAGGATGAAATGGCAAGGCTGGACTAGGCTGTCATTTCTAAAGCCAAGGCCGGATCCTACTTGCCTGGAGGAAATCCAACCACAATTTCTGTTGAGGTTCCTTCTTGGAGTTACACACAAGTTCTGGGATCTTATGAACTCCACAATATGAGGAAAGTTCCTTCTGTTCACTAATCTGTACTTAAAAACCCTGAGGCACTATGTCAGTTAAGAATGTATAGGCTCTCCATAGTGGCTCAGCAGTCAAGAATCTGCATGCAACGCAGGAGACCCTGGTTCGATCTCTGGGTCAGGAAGATCCCCTGGAGGAAGGCATGGCAACCCACTCCAGTATTCTTGCCTGGAGAATCCCATAGACGGAGGAACCTGGCGGGCTGCCGTTCGTGGGGTCGCACAGAGTCGGACATGACTGAAGCGGTTAAACAGCAGCAGCAGCTCTCCACAGGAGAAACCCTTAATAATTTCAGCCAAGACCAGGAGACCTTGGCTTATGGTCCAGCCTCCCCGAGCATACTCAGCAGCCTCCTCCTGAGTTTTTCCAGGGTGTTGACAGGGAGCTGGACACATTCCCAGAAGAATGTGGGCACTTATGGCCCTCTGCCTCGTTCCGGTCAGGAGAAACCACCTGCTAAGCCACACCGCTTCTCAAATGCACTTCCCTTCCTCACTCCATCACCTTCATGCCCTCCCGGAGTCCTACTAAAATATTCTCAAGGGGGAGACCTTCGGGAAAACAGAGTAACAAGTGTCTTCCTGGGAGTTTCTTCTCTTGGCCAGCTGACACAAGCCTGCTTTTTGTGTCTGTGATGATTGAGGGGATGGGGACAGCAATGCAGGCGAGAGGAGTGCACACGCTGGTCTCTGTGTGACTGTCCCACTGTTGCAGGGGAAAGAACAGTGCGGTGCTAAATAGGAGACCTGGACCCCAGCCTCTGCTCTGGGCCCAAATGTCTTCATCAGTAAAACTGTTAAGAAGGAATGCTGAAGGGGTGGGGATGGGAGGAGTCCATCTGCTTCAAAACTAGATACAGAGGCCTCTGCAAATTGCCTAGCAAAATGCCCCAGTCAGACCCATCCCTCCCAGGATGGTAAGGTTGGGAGACACGGGAAAGGCAGGAAGTATGTGTTATAGGCGTCCAGGGGCAGATCTGGGTGTTCCCAGCTTGGCTCCCTGATCACACAAGGGGAGGTGTGGGGTTACAAGTGGTGGGGGGAAGGAGGCGGGGTGGTTAATAAATAGCAAAGGATCCCTAAGTCACATTTTAGTATACAGAAGTTTTTAACTAGGGTCCCTGAACCACAGCCTGTACACTGGAATTCAGAGGTTGATGAACTGAGATTGGAAAATATTACAACTTAACCTCCACTCACCTCCATTTTCTCAGTTATGAATAAATGCAAAAAACTGTGGTTGCATTAGCAGGGCCAGTAAAAACCAGTGCTTTTTCTTTCCTTTTACCTTTGCAGGTGTCTTGAAACATTGTTTAAACTCATTTCTACTTCAAGTTGACAGTGGTTTATTGGGCTCATCCCCTTGATTCTTGTTATTTAATGTATTAAAGAAACCCATATATTACAACATCACACACTTCAATATTTTCACAACTGTATTTCAACATAGCTAGTTTCATTTGTGATCCCTTTATGCAAAGGAAAATATTTTGAGAAGGAATCACGGCACAAAAAAGGTCAAGGGCCCCCAGACCAGGAGCGGTCCCTATTGACGCGTGGCCCAGAGTGAGGACGGCCGCCCAGCTGAGCACAGGCTGCCACAGGAGGAACCAGGTCAGAATCCCACCAGGCACTGCTCCTGCTCCAGGAAACCTTGGGGTAGGACGCAGGGGTGAGGCATGACCACGACGAGTCACGGAGATCTTTAGCTCGATGGAGTGGCCTTGGGCCTCCGCTGCCCGTTGTGAAAAAGGAGAAGATCACCAGCCTCTTAGCTTCAATCACATGAGGATGGAGCCCCAAGCTCACTGTGGAATAAAGGGAAGGGAGCACTCACCTTTTGTACTTAGGGAGTTTTTTCAGCCCTCTCCCCCCCCCCTTTTCTTTTTTGCCATGTTGTGCAGCACTCAGGATCTTAGTTCTCTGGCGAGGGATTGAACCCACGCACCCTGCAGTGAAAGCACGGAGGCTTAGCCAGTGGACCACCAGGGAAGTCCCCAGCCCAATTTAAGGAAACAAAAGCCAAGTGTAGGGAGAAGGGACAAGAAGAGATTCTTCCGCAGCTACAGTTGTATCTTCTCGGCTCAGGGATGAGACGAAAGTGTCACCCGACGAACCAATATTGGTGCATTATTATTAAAGAAAGTCCATAGCTTACTTGAGGGTTCACTCTTTGTGTTGTACAGTTCCACTGGTTTTGAAAAATGCATATTGTCATGTATCCACCATGACATCATTCAGAATAGTTTTACTGCCCTAAAAATGCCCCGTCTGAGCCTCAGTTTTAACATCTCTAAAATGAGAAAGTGAAACTCCTCTAAATCCCCACATCCTCTCACTGTAGGTTTCTAATTTAGGCCTCTTGACAAAGTGGTGCTGAAATCAACAAAATGTTGCTCTAAGTGTGGTCTGATATCCATCAGAATCACTGGGCTTGGGTTGAGGTGACGAGGTCCTCATTCAAAACTTCTGGGTTCTCAACCTCAGACCCACTAAACCCAGGGTCAGTGCCCAGGAATCTGCATTTTAACCAGACCCTGGTGCACAGGGAAGTTTGAGACCTCAACGGAGTATTCAAACCTGAACTCGAGGATCCAACCCATTGTCAGGTTAAAGCTCAGGAGAGATGTACAATTCCCCAAAGGGGGAAGGAGCAGAACTGTTCCTGGAAAAAGCCCGTTTCTGCCTTCCACAGATCCCAGTCAACAAGCCTCCTGTTGTTTCACATCTTGATTGCTGCTCACTCACCCAAAATAACCTGCATGCAGTGTCTCACCAGCTGCAGCTCTCTCTGCAGCTCCCTTAATTTAGCAGCCAGTCACATTTGGCTCCACAACAAAGGGGCTCTGGGAAGGGGCCCCTCCCTCATGGCCATCTGTCGTGGATTGAATAAAGTGCCCCCCAGATTCATGTCCCCCATCCAGAACCTCAGAATGTGACTTTATTGAAAATAAGGTATTTGCAGACGTAATTACTAAGGATTAAGATGAGATCATACTAGATTAGGGTGGATTCTAAGTTCAGTGACTGATGTTCTCATAATATCAGTCAAAGACAGACACACATAGGGGAGGAGGCCATGGGAAGACAAGGGCAGAGGTAGGGGTGATGTAGCAACATACAAGTCAAAGAACACCAAAGATGCCAGGAGTCACCAGAAAAAAGAGGCCAGAAGATTCTTCCCTAGAATCTTCAGAGGGAACATAGCCCTGTCAACACCTTGATTTCAGACTTCCAGCCTCCAGAACTGTGAAAATAAATTTCTATTATTTTAAAGCCACCCAGTTTGTGGTAATTTGTTATAGCAGCCCTAGCAAGTTAATACATCATCACTACCACAGACTGCTGCCCCAGTTCAGCCCCACTCCAACCATTAAAGAAAGGACCCCACACACACAAGCAATTCTCCACGTTATGTGCTTTAATGTGGCCAGTTATGATCAGAGCTATTTTCTCCCAACCAACACCCTCTGAATTCTGCGTCTACTAAGCCTGTTTCCTACACAAGACAGGGGGCCCTCCATCCTCTGCTTGGAAGGCTGTAATCCAAGACGGGTTGAGACTTTAGTAGTGATAAGTAAATATTGGTCCCAGGGGCAGTGCCTGGCAGGTGGTACCACGAGGCCATTCCTGGGCTCAGCTGAGGGTCTGGCCAGAAGGGTCTCACTGCAGCTTCATGCCACTCCGGCGCCGAGAGTCCTTCCGGGCAATGGGGCTGAAGTTCACGATCTCCTTGTAGATGTGCTCTGAGGAAGGCAGGGGGGTTCGGGAGTAGTGGGTGCTGAGGGCAAGCGCCTGCCTCCCTCCCCCAATAGACATGGTGCAGAGCAGGAAGAAGCGCACGCAGGAGACAGTGTTTGCTCAGAGAGAAAGAGGCCACAGTCTCCAGGAGAAACGCCAGGGCCGCTGAGGCCAGGCGGGGAAACAAGGCCAGCAGAGGAGACAGAGGCTGCAGGCTGCGGGGGAGGCGCTGAGGCGCCCGGCCCTTACGCTTCCATTCGTCCAATGTGAGTTTCTCGCGTTCTAAGGAATCATCGAGCGGCTGCTGGGCCTCTGTCTCCTCCTCGGGGTCTCGGAAGGGCTCAAAGAAGGGGTGGGCCAGGGCCTGCGAGGCTGTCAGGCGCTTGTCCACGTCCAGCTCCAGCATCTTCTCCAGCAGGTCTGTGGCTGCCGTCACAGAGCATGAGCCTCACGCCCCAGGCCCGGGAGAACCCAGCCCACCCGCGGGGACACAGACTGCAGGCCCCCGAGACTCACCCTGGGGGCTGGCACGCGGGAAGAGCTGAGAGAAATCCTTTTTGGGGCTTTGTGGCAGGGACTGGATGTAGGATTTGGCCTGGAAGATAGAACAGCACTGAGTAATCCCAAGTTGTCAGCTCCTTGGGACTTAGGCTATAGGATCTAGAGCAGGGACCCCAGAAAAGCCGCTGAGCAGGGCTGAGGGCTCAGGTCCGAATCCAAAGTGAGATAAAGGCAAGAGCCCTTGCTAGGGCAGAGGGGCGGTGCGGGTGAGCCCACCTCCCTGACCCTGGCCCGCCAAGGGCACAGCCCCAGCCAGCCTGGGCCCATCTGCCCCTCACCGCCTTGTCATTCAGCTTCTGCACAAACTCTGCGCCCGGCACGCCCGTCACTTTCAGGATCTGGGTCAGCTGGTCCAGGTCTTGGCAGCAGGTTAAGGCTCGGCCTCACTCGCTGGGTGGAGGGGGAGCGGGTCTGGAGCTGCCCTTCCCGCTGCCCCTCCATCAGGCCCTCCCAGCAGGGTGGACCATCCAGGCTCCAGACACCCACCTCCTCCTGGTTTCAGGAGGGGAGGTTCATCCTTCAGGACGCAGGTGAGACTTCCCACCTGCCAGGCTGGGTTAAGGGTCCCTCCCCACAAATGCTCCTGCAGGTGCCACCTTCCCAGCCTCATCCCACTCCGTCACCTCCGTGCATTATTTTTTTCTACTCCCCCCACACCCTTGCATTCTGAGCTTGGCAGGGAGACCCCGTATCGTCTCCCCAGTCCCTGTAAGGCACACGGAGGTGCTCAACTGGTGGGTGTGGTGCCAAAACATCAAGTATTTTCTGCAGGATGGTGGAATCACAGGTGACTGGTTTTCATAATTTTGCTTCTCTGCACTTTAAAATTACTCCACTGTGGAGCATGTGTCACTGTCACATTAAGAAAAAGAGAGAGATTTAAGTAATAAAGTGTCTGTTGAAGGAATGAATCCCTGGATGAAGACTGGCTTTTTCAGCAAAGGATACAATCTTTCCCCTTGAACAGCGTCTTCCCTGTCAGCATCTCTGCCATGATACAGCCCACAGACCAGATGTCCACTGCAGAAGGAGGGGGAGGAGGTGTCACCTGGACCAGCTGGCCAGGACCTGGCAGTCGGTCAACCCAGAGTATCCAAGACAGGCTTGAGGACGCCATCAGAGAAGACCCCCAGCCCCCTCCCCGGGGCAGCCGACCACTGACCGGTCTGGTTGTAACGCATCCAGCTGAGAATCACCTCAGGGGCCCGGTACCAGCGGGTCACCACGTAACCCGTCATCTCCACATCCGTATGCCGTGCCAACCCAAAATCCAAGATCTATGACTCGGGGCACAAAGGGAAAAGAGCTCTCTGAGGAGAGGGGCTTTCTGGAGCAGCTTCTGGGGGCTCCGGCGGGAGAGGGGCCCACCCCAAGCCCAGGCCAACCCTGCCTGGGCCCCCTCACCTTCAGCTCACAGTCCTCGTTCACAGCGAGGTTGCCCGGCTTCAGGTCCTAGAGGAGAGGAGAGATGGCGCGCTAGACAGAGGCAGAGACGGTGTACCCACTCGACCGCCACCCGCACGCGGCCCTGGCCAGGCCCCTGCCGCTTTCTCTGGGTGCCGGTCTCCTGTGCAGAGTGAGGGTTGGACCAGGTGTCCTCTAGGGTCCATCCGGCTTTAAAATGCTCCGACTCTTGGAGCCTGAAACACCCATCTCAGCTTCACTGGTGACATTTTCCCAGAAAGTTCCCTGAAACAGCAATTCTGAGCAGGCCTTCCTGGGCCAAGGCTGGGTCTGAAAAATCCCTATCCCCGGCTCCCCTTGTGCCATCTACCTGCCCCCCCCCCAACTTCAAGAAGACCCCAGGGGTGGGTGGGACCTTTGAGGATGTAGCAGAGAAAGCACTCACCCTGTGGACGACCCCAGCTGAGTGGATGTACTGTGTTGGAGGGAGAGAGGGAGAAGCGTGAGTCCAGAGTCCGGCTTTCACACTAGGCGTTCAGGCTGGCTCAGAGACCGCCTCTGCCCTGTCGTGGTGTATTCCCCCGAACCTTTGAGGCCTGGCCTCCCCCAGACCACAGGTCTCAACACCCAGCCCCCATCCACTACCCCCTGGCAGGCTCCCACCCACCTTAAGGCCCTTGAGCATCTGATACACCAGGTACTGGATCTTGTCCTCACTGAACTCCATCCCCATGATCTTCTGCAGGTCCGTCTGCATGAAGGGCATCACCAGGTAGCTGCAAGGCATGAAGGCTTCCTGAACAGTCCCCAGGCCCACCCAGCCCCACGCCCCAGCTCAAAGGAGGGGCACGGGGCTGGGGCAGAACACAAGCCTTAGAGATGACCTTCATGTGCGAGAAGAACCACTCCCACAACAGCCAGCCAAATCCCCAGGCAATGGGCCTCCCAGCTCCTGGCTCCCAGCCTGGCCCTGGCGGCCGCCCTGTTGGCAGAGCTCAGGGTATTTCAGCTGGAGCTGTGCTCAGGAAGACCAAATGCAGCAGTGTTCCCACTCTTCAAAGGTATCCTCTCCTCGCCCTCCTCCACGCCCCACAGAAAGCCACTGCTGTGAGTTAGAAACACTTGCCAGTATTTCCTTCTGCTTCTGTACAAATATTTTCTCCCCACCTCAGAGGGTCATGAGCAGCCATGAAAATCCTCAAACATCCAAAATGTCTCCCTTCCAAGAAGGAAACAATAAAACAGTTTCCAGGAGGGTGAAGAAGGAAGAAAGAGATAGCTGAACCCTCACCCTCTCTTAATGGGATTGCAAAACAGGTCAAAGTCAGCAAAATGTAACTGCTACTCAAGGCAGTAACAGCAAAGTCCAGAACAGAAAAGGATAAAGATCTAGAAAGGAGTTAAACAAATAAAAGAATGTAGAGGCCATCTCCATGAGCCTGTGACTCCCGGTCTTCTTCCACCTGACTGTACCCCCTCCCATGCACTGGGAACCCCGGCTCCATGCACAGGCTCCTCCCCACCTTCGTGTTTCACCGCTATAGGAGACTGATTCCGTTCAGCTGACAAACTCACTGACATCTTAACAGTGCTACAACCACCCTCCCTTAACCTTATTTCTTCGAGTATCCCTACTCCTCTCTCTTTTCCCTCCTGATCAAACTTCTAGGAAGAGTGGTCCTCACCTGTCGACCCCACTGCCTTAAAGCTCAGTTCCCTGACAATGGGGTGTCTGCTCCTGCCCCACCAGCCCAGCACACATACCCATGACTCCCTTTCTTTCTGCTGGAACTTGTGTAAAGCTTGACACTCCCTCAAGGTTCTCTGCGAATTCCAGCTCTGGTCAGGCAGTCTCAACTCTCTGCCTGAGGATCCTGTTGTACCTTCTCTTTCATGTTGATATCTTAACCCACAGCATCGCATCATGCCCTACGCTAGCCTGTCCCTGGGCTTCAGCTCTCACCCACCAGTGGTTATTCTGGCCCAAGTCCACATCCCTGGCCCAGACCTTCCTAAACTCTGGGTTTGTTTGCTGGATAAACACTTGAATGTTCATAGGCTTTTCAAAAATGAAGTGTCCAAAGTGGAGTTCATTATCTTTCTCCTAAGATCTGTTTTTCCTTCACCTTGTATTCCCAGTAGGAACCTGGCATCCCTTGACCTCTCCTCACCACTGCATCCCATGGGATACAACACTCTGACAGTGCTGCCTCTTGATGGGTCTCAAGTCAGCTCTTGGGACCCCATCACCTTGACTGCATTTAGAACAAGGTCTGGTTCTCCCTAAAGCTGTCCCAGTTCCTTTCTGGTGCTGCCAGAGTGCATCCCCAAATCCGCTCTGACCACCTCACCTCGCTGCTCAAAACCTCTATAGCCTTGAGGCTGCTGTGGAGTCAAGTCTGGACTCAGCCTAACTAAATCAGCCACTGCTTCACTGCACTTCTCAGGATGGCCCAGCCTCTTTCACACAGGCATCATGGCCTTGGTCCATGCAGTTCCTTCTCCTTGGGATGCTTTCAGCCCTTCTATCTCAGGCAAACATTGACTCATCCTTCAGGGCTGAGTTCAGAGTTACCTCCTCTATGAAGCCCGCTGAGGCAGCTGGCAGTTCCCGGCTCTACCCAGACTTAGAGCACTGACCACCACTGTCAGTATCCACCACTGTCTGTCTGGAGGAGCTGGTCCACTTTAAATTCCCAATGCCAAGCCCAGCAGCTGGCATTGTAGGGAAAAAAATCCATTCAAACTCACTGCGTTAAACTGAAAACAAAAGCATCCTAATAAAGAGAACTGCGGCTACAGTTGAAATAGGACTGGAAAAAAAAAAATCAACCCACTCCAAGTTTCCTAAATTTTAGCAGGTACTGCGCTAGGAAGGCCGTGCATTTAGCAACTAAATTTTCATGTTCTGTGTAATTCTGAGAAACATCCCATTGGCCAGGGCGGCCAAGGCTTTGTGATCCTCACTTCATTCTAGGAAGAGTCGTGAGGTCCAGACCCACACCTGCACAAGGACACGGCGAGGGAGACTAATGCAAACCCTGTGGGGGCTGGCACTGATGTCTCTGGTGTTAAAGGTGGGCCAAGCAAAACAGATGAGCAGACAGCTCTGTGTCAGCTGGGCTCCGTAAAAAGCCCTTCCCACCTTTTCAGGCCAGCCGTTCTCTCCACCGTTGGCTGGATCTCTCCCCAGCCCAGAGGCACACAGCCTCCTGGGACAGGAAGCCCCCCCCACCCCCTTTGCCAGAAGAGAGAACCTGGACCCTCCTCTTACTTGCCCCCCCAGTGGCAAGCAAGGCCTGCAAACATCCTGGAACCGGGCACAGCCTGACTCACAAGTCATGGAAGTTGCGGAGGGAGGAGGCTGGGGTGAAGACGTCCAGAAGCCCGATAACCTAAAGAGAAGATGGCCAGTGAGAGCCAGGCAGCCGCCGTGCCCCTCTGCACCTGTCCTCTGCGGCCCCAGGCCTGCACAGGACCACCTGCCCTTTCCTAGAACAGCACCTCCAGAAGGAGGCAGGTTCCCAGCCTTCTGGGAAGAAGCAGTAAAAGGGGCAGGGGTGGGGGAGGGATTCCCCCACCTGGGCAGGAATTGGCAGCACACTGCGATGGAGAGTCAGGCTGGGATAAGGGATGGGGGACATGTCTGTGCTCACTGACCCCAAGTCTGGTGCTCAGGAGAAGCGGCACAAACGCAGTCTCCGCTCAGACAGGGAACCTCGAGTGGGGAAGGGAATCGAGGCAGGGACAGAGAAGGGATCTTCCAGCCAGCAGGCTCCCTGTCCTTGACTTTGGGTCTCACCGCATCCAACCCTGCCTGCCAAAGGGCTGATTCAGAGCTGGGGCGAGACTTCCCAGCTGGAGGCCATGGGGAGGAGCTGACTGAGAAGGAATGGGACTTAAAATATGCACAGTGTTTTGAACTCATTGTTTTAAATGCTTGGGTTTCCCCTGGTGGCTTAGCGGTAAAGAATCCACCTGCAATGCAGGAGCCACAGGAGATGTGGGTTTGATCCCTGGGTCGGGAGGATCCCCTGGAGGAGGAAATGGCAACCCACTCCAGTATTCTTGCCTGGAGAATCCCATGGGCAGAGGAGTCTGGCGGGCTACAGTCCATGGGGTCGCAGAGTTGGACACAATTGAAGCGACTTAGCACCAGTTTTTTAAAACGCTTGTCTGCCAATACAGGTCCCCTGCAGCAAAACCTGGGGGCCAGGCTCAGCACTGGGTCACTAGTTTCCTGGCTGTTTCAATCAGACGGGACAGTCTTGAGGTCACGCTCTGGGGCCTGGAGCCAGGCTGTCTAGGGTCAGATCCCAGCTCTGCCACTGACTAACCATATAATCTGTCTGTCTACGGCCATACCACCCTGAACGTGCCTGATCTCGTCTGATAACCTGCGAGTCTTTCTGTGCCTCAGTTTCCCTGTCTGTATAAGGCGGTAATGGTACTTATATGATACTGTGAGGATTAAACATACTAGTTTCTGCAAAGTTCTTAGAACTGTGCCTGGCACATAAGTGCTCACAGGTTTCTATTATCCTTGTTGCACTTATGTGGAAACAGCACTAACCAGGATCCTGGGCACCAGGTCTTAGATCTCGAACAACTACGGAGTTCCTCGGTGCCCATTTCCTCATAACAGTGAGACACCAAGTTCATTCTGCGCCACTGCCAAAAATTCCTTTGCACCTTACCTGGGAAGTAGGCGGGGTGGGTCCTGGCGCATAGTTTTAATAATCAGGTGAGGAACAAGGATCAGAGGAGCAGGGAGGAGGTTCCCTTTCTGCTGGCGCTGTTGGGTCGTCATCTTGGGGTATCTTCCGTGTGTGCGCATGCGCGTGTGCACACACACGGAGGGGCCCGGTCAGGACCCTCTCTGGGGCTGCCCTCCCGCCCCTGCCTCCCCGAAGCAGCCCCCAGGCCCAACCTACATTCTCATGCTGCATGTGTTTCAGCAGCAGCAGCTCCCGATAAGCCCGCTTGGCAAAGATCTCGGACTGGAAGGGCCGGCTCAGCTTCTTGATGGCCACCTTCTCCCCTGACCGCTTGTCGATGGCTGAGCTGTAGGGTCAAAGGCAGGTCAGCAGGGAGCACGCCACCCCCCTCCCCAGCCCGGAGGCAGGCAGGGCTCCAGACCCTGGGTGGCATCTCCCAGGCCGTCTGGGGAGCCATGGCCATCCTCACCCCAATCCCTCTGGGCCAGCAGTCTCAGCTGGGAGGAGCTGATGCCCACCACCAGGAATGTGAGTGAGCCACTGGAAGTACAGTGCGACTGGGAGAGCGAGGAGGGAGCAGGCAGGATCTGAGAGAGGTGCCCCGCACCAGGGTAAAACAAGTTAATGTCAACAGGATCCCGAACAACTTGGCAAGTCGCTTCTTGTTTGCGTCTCCCTGTACCCATGTGTATTAAATAACAAATCAATCGGGATTCGGCCAGATGAGCTCTGGGGTCCCTTGTAAGTCCTGGAGAAACAGATTCAGTCCTAATTCAACCCACAGAGAACCCCACCAAGCAGGTGCGAAAAGCGAGCTGCCGCCTGGGGCGGCCCCATGGCCAGCCTCCACAGCCCGAGGCTCCTACTCCACTTCGAGGTCCAGCCTGCTGCCTCCTCCAGTCCCAGGGCTCAGCCTCGGAAAAGCACCTGCGAAAGTCTTCCCAACCCGCCGGACTCTGGGCCTTGGGGTCCTTGATCAAAGGTGGTGGGCGCACAGCTTCGCGCGCCCAGCAGGTGAGGGGACACGGAAGGCGGATCCGGGGAGCCGGGGGGCATTGGCCGGGATCTGGCTCTTGCGGAGGCCCCGCCCGTGTCCCAGTGCCTGGGCGCCCACCAGCGGGCTGGCCCGATGCCCCAGGCACCCCCGACGCCCCAGTGGTCGCGCAAGCGCGGGGGGAGGGGTCTCACCATACGGAGCCGTAGGCCCCGCTGCCTATGTGCGTCAGGGACACGTAGGTCTTGGGCAGCTCCCAGGCGGTCTTGTTGACGTCCTGCTTGTAGAAACCCTTTTTCCGGGTGAAGCTCATCCCGGGCAGTCGGCGTTGGCGGCCCCAGCGCGGTGGCTGCGCTCGCGGCCCGCCGGGCTCCCAGCACCTGGCGCCCGCCCGCCGTGCCCGCCCAGGTCTCCCGCTCCTCCCCTGCGCGAGGGCGGGTCCCCGTCCAGGCCACGCGTCCCACCTGCCGGCGCGCCCAGGTGCGCTGCGCCGCCACGCCCGGGCCTGCTGGGAGCCCCGGGTTTCCGCCGGGGTCGGAGTTCGGAACCCCAGCCACAGATCCGAGCGAAGCGGCAGGGGCGCCGCGGTGCAGGGGCTGGGGTGGGGGGTGCTTCCCGGCCCCCACGGAGGGCAGAAGGCAGGAAGACAGCCTCCCAGCTGCTGCCCGCATAGGATTCTGTAGGAAGATCTCGGAGATTTTTAAGACAATTTTGGGGGGGGGAAAAACCCACAAAAGCCCGTAACTTGTTGAGTATGGGAAGTTTCAAACATACAGAAGTAGCCAGTGCTTCTCACATTTGAATGTGCACACGAATCCCTGGGGTATTTCATTGAATACAGATTCTCGTTCAGGAGATCCGGGGTGGAGCCAAGATTCTGCATTTCTCACCAGCTCCTAGGCTCAGGGATCTCTGAATCACACGTTGATAAGCAGATTCTAATGACCCCGTATAACCCCAGTTGCAAACCCCACAGCTTCAACAAGTAAATCAACTTTTTTGTCAGTTTTGTTTCCTCTACATACTTCCTCCCCCATTGTTTTGAAGCAAAACCAGGCATCCTATCATTTCATCTGAAAATAATTTTTTGTATCTCTAAAAGATAAGGATTGTTTTAAAAACACAACTACAGTATCTTTTTTACACCTAGAATCAATAACAGTAATTCTGTAATATGAACCATCCAGTCTAGATTCACATATTCGGTTTCGAATGTGTTTTTGCTGGCTTCCTGCTGCCTGGTGAAGGCAATGACAAGCCAGAGCCTTCAGCCACCTGTGTCTGGTCGTTTGTGCATCCTGAAGAAGATTCTGGGCTCAGATTAAATCATGGAGACCTCCCAGGAACAGGGTCAGCGGCAGAGAATGGCTGTAGGAGGTCCAGATGCCTGACCTGGCTCGTCTGACCCCTTGCTGGCCTGGGAACTGGGTTGTGGAAGGGATGGAGATGCTGTGCTTCAAAGCCAGGGAGCCCCCCCACCCCCCGGGAGTCTTCAGAACCCAAACCCTGTGCCACAGCCCCACACAGTCCTGCAGCATCAGACCCTGGGGGGCGTGGGGGCGGGGGGTGCAGGGATCCCACAGAAACGCCCAACAGGCATTGCGGGCAGGGAATCTATCTGTCTTACATGTGTCTGTCACACAGTAGGCTGTGAAAAACTGTATGGAGAATGAGTGGGAGAGTCAGCCCATCAGAGGTGAAAAAAATATTTATCTGATGAACACTTATTTGTGTTTGCAGTGTACCAGTCATTATTCTAAGTGTTTTACATACACAACTCCCTTAATCCTGGTGAGAGGCCTGTGAGTCAGTAGTACTATTATCCTCATTTTACAGATGAGGAACCTGAGGTTCAGAGAAGTTAAGTCACTTGCCCAAGGTCAGACATCTGGGAAGGGGCAGAGCTGAGTTGAAGAAGCTAAGACGATCTGGTTTGAGACTCCAAGCCTATGCAGTGTCTCTGGTTGAGAGGCATTACTTGTTGTTGTTGTTGTTGTTTTGAGGCATTACTTCTTAAAGGAGATGGCCTGTGTTTCAAATTATCTACCTCACCCATCCTAAAGACATGTCTACTGATCAAACCATGTCTCCCTCATACATCCTGCCTTGGGGATCTGACAATTACCCCACCCTCTCCGCTACCTGACCTTCTACTCCAGCCCTGAGACCCTGTAGGAGGAAAAGGGAAGGGGCTAGGAGCCTGGTGGAGGTGGGGGGGCTGCAGGAGTTTGGGACCTTGGGGGTCGGTGACGCCAGTGGAAGGCACTCTGATTCAGAAGTTGGCATGTGATCCTGGAAGCCAGAGTCTAGGGCTGGGTACAATCAAGAGAGAGTTGCCCAGGAGACTTGGGTCTCCTGGGTTGAGGATCCAATTCTCCAGCGAACAGACAGGCCTTGAGCCTCTTGAAAGCCTGAGTGTGACAGAGGTGAGCCCAGAAAGGTGACAAATGTCAGGGAAGTAAGTGCTCATTGCCCAAGTGGGTGCAATCCTGCAAAGGCACGAGCTGGTCACTGAGGCTGTGGCTCTGGACGCCTCTTAAGCAATGGTCAGGAAGTGACTCAGGCCCCAGACTGTGGACACTGACCCCCCTTCAGCCTCCACTGGACCTGTGTTGACTCAGTAGCCAGGCAGCCTTGGAGAGACAGCCTTAGGCGATCCTATCTGGGAGGTCAGGAATGGGACCTGTTAACATCGGGGCAGGGGGCATCTCTTTGGAATGAGACCCGCATTTCCATCCTGCCTCTGCATTACCAGCTGTGTGACCTGGGCCAAGTTCCTTCCCCTCTCTAAGTTTCGGTGTCCTCCTTGTAACATGGAAATGATATTAAAACGTGCTAAGCGCATTTAAAGGGTCCTGGGGATGGTTCATTCTGAGTGCAGTAAAACAACAACCCAGTGAGCTAGGGGCTGTTAGTATCTCCAGCCAAAGATCCTCCCAGAAACACACCTGTGGGTGAACAAACTGGGTTTGTCACTAGTTGCATCAAGGGAGAACATGCACATGGGAACCGGCAGGGGGCGGGGAGCCGTCTCAGTAAGGGAGTGTTGGAAAGGACTTGTTGCAAAGTTAGGTCATTTGGTGGAAGGTGTAAGGAAGCTGGACTTTGTTCCGGATGAGATGAAATCAGGAAGTGGAGGTGATTTTATGGTTAGGTGTCTTAATGAGTCTTACCTGGAAGGAGGACCAATAGAATGAGGAGGGAGCCACAACTGGTAAAGCGCCAGCCTTCGCTCAAGAGTAGCTGGATGGGGGTGTTTGGTCATGTTTGTGGTTTGGACGACACTTCTGTTTTCTCTGTGCTCAGACATGATTACAGAGTGTCTTGTTTTTGTCTCAATCCCATTGTGGTCACAGATGGCCTTGTCTGTGTTCAGTGGGAGCACATCAAGATGAGCTGCGCCAGGCCAGCTCTGAGCAATGCCAGACGGGCCTGGGCAACTTCCGGGTGTCAGGATACAATGTTCGCCTCCTACAGATGGACAAACTGAGGCCCAGAGGTGTTAAGTGATTTGCCCAAAGTCACATATGACCAAGAAGGTGTTGGACATGGTCTTCTAACGTGGTGTCCTGCCCCAGAATCTGCACGTTTAACCACCAGCCAGGCTGCCCAGCAAGTGTCTGAGAAGTGCTTGTTCTGTGCGGCTGTCTTCCCAGTGAGTCTGTGAAATGCTGGAAGGCAGGGACATGGTGTGGGGGATCGTTGACCGCTTAGGGCTCTGCATTGCCACTGCAAGGAGCGTGGGGTCGATCCCCGGTCAGGTACCTAATATCCCACATACTGCGTGGTGCGGCCAAAAGAGAAAAAGAAATGCAAGAGATAGAAGTCCCTGCAGCGTGGAGCTGACATTCTAGCAGGGAGGCAGATCAGAGACCAATGAGCACATGTACAGTATTGGGTTGAACCGAATGGCACTGCTGATATTTGACAATTTTATGTCGTTCAATCACATGTAATGTCAGGCAGTATTAAGTGCTATGAAGAAAATGCTTCCCTCATAGCTCAGTCGGTAAAGGATCTGCCTGCAATGCAGGACACCCTGGTTCAGTCCCTGGGTGGGAAAGACCACCTGGAGAAGGAAATGGCAACCCGCTCCAGAATCCTTGCCTGGAAAATCTCATGGACAGAAGAGCCTGGTGGGCTGCAGCCCATGAGGTCGGAAAGAGTGGGGCATGACTGAGTGACTAGCACTTACTTACCTACTTAAGGATATATAAAGGACTTGCGAGGACTCTTTTGAGACGTGGGGGAGGAGTGGGAGATCCGGCAGAGAAGGTCTGTGAGGAGGCGTCATTGGAACAGCACCTGAACAAGCGCAGGAGTGAGCCAGGAGGATCTGGAGGGGGAGGGGTGGGGTGGGGTTGGAGCAGGTGTCTGCCTTCCTTCCAAACGCTTCCACTCTGTTCCCACGTCTGACCTGCCCTCCCCTCCTCCCCGGCCCCAACAGTCTCCGTCAAATCCTCCAGCTCAGAACACCTGGGGGTAGCTTCCTGGCCTCTGGTTTACCTGGCTGTCTCCCCCCCTGCCCCCCACACCTCTTCCACTTCGAGGGGACTCAGGCCCGGAACGGAACATCAGTCCCAAGAACAGCGCATCAGACGCCCAATGCTCGCCGGCGCCCCTCCTCCTCCGAGCTGCGGGCTCAGCCTTCCCGCTCCTGGCGCCGACCTGGTCGGCTCTCCCTGCCTCGGCGTTAGCACCCCCTGGTGGACAGTGCGGGGTACGGCCGGCTCTGCTAGACTGGCGGCGCCCCCCGCAGCCTTCGGGGGACCCAGAAAGCAGACCGCCCCTCTTCACACCCTACATCGGCCTGTCCCTCCCACCCTCCCTACTCCACCCCAAGACCCACCTCCCTTCACCCAGCCTGCAGGACTGGGCCTCCCGTCCTTGACCCAGTCCTGTGAAGACGTGGCCTGGGGTCCATCTGGTGGAAGATTCCAGCCAAGTCTGGGTCTCGGCTCCCTCTGATCTCTGCATTGTCCTTTGTAGCATCTGTCACCCTTTTGAAACACTTTATTTTTTTTTTGGCCATGCTGGGAGGCACGCAGGATCTTACTTCCCCAGGTCTATTTGTGCACACTCAGTCGCTTCAGTCGTATCCAACTCTGCGACCCTACAGATTATTTGTGGGATTCTCCCAGGCAAGAACATTGGAGTAGGTTGCCATGTCCTCCTCCAGGGGATCTTCCTGACCCAGAGATCGGCCTCTGCTTGCAATGGCTCCTGCATTGCAAGCAGATTCTTTACTGCTGAGCCACTGGGGAAGCCCCTTGTTTCCCGGACCAGAGATCAAACTTGGGCCCCCTGCAGTGG